AATGTACTCAAGTATTTGGACCCTTTGCTCAATACTTTGTTGAAGCAATTACAGCCTTGAGTCTTTTTGTGTATGATGCGACAACCTTTGCACACCTGGATTGGGGGATTTTCTGTGATTCTTCTTTGCAAATCCTTTACATCTCAGTCAGGTTGGATGTGGACCAGCAGTGGACTGCTGCGTGGTCATTCTCATGTTGGAAAGTGAATCTTCAGCCCAGACTGAGGTCCTGAGTGCTGTGGAACATGTTTTCATTGAGAATATCTCTGTACTTTGCACCATTCAGCTTTCCCTTAACCATGACCAGTCTCCCAGTCCCTGCTGCTGAAGAAGACCCCCACAGCATGATGCTGCCACCAACATGCTTCACTGTAAGGATGGTAATGGGCAGGTTATGAGCAGTGCCTGGTTTCCTCCAGACATCTCATTTAAAATTGAGGCCAAACAGTTCAGTCTTGGTTTCATCAGACCAGAGAATCTTATTCCTCACAGTCTGAGAGTATTTTGATTTTTTTTTTGTAAACTGCTGGCTTTCAGGAATTTTGCACTGAGGAGAGGCTTCCGTTTAGTCACTCTGGCATAAAGACCAAATAGGTGGAGGGTTGCAGTGATTGTTGTCCTTCTGGAACTTTGTCCCATCTCCACTCCCCACAGAATCCCTGGAGCTCAGTCAGAGTGACCATCGGGTTCTTGGTCACCTCTCTAAGGCCCTTCTCCCCCGATTGTTCAGTTTGGCCGACTGACCAGCTCTTGAAAGAGTCCTGGTTGTGCCAAACATCTTCCATGTAAGAATTATGGAGGCCAATGTACTCTTGGGAGCCTTCAGTGCAGCAGAATTTTTTGTAGCCTTCCCCAGAACTGTGCCTTGCAATAATTCAGTCTCTGAGCTCTGCAGACAGTATTCATTGTCAGCTGTGAGGCCTTTTACAGAGAGGTGTTTGCCTTCCCAAATCATATCCAATCAATTTGATTTACCACAGCTGGACTTCAATCAAGGTGTAGAAACATCTCAGCAAAGGGTCTGAATATGTATGCCAATATGATATTTAAATTCTTCCTTTTTCATACATTTGCAAACATTTCTAAAATTCTGTTTTCACTTTATCATTATGGGATCCCTATACCTACCTATTCTGAAGCCACTTCAGTCTGGACATGTGATTCTGTGTGCAGGAGAGAAAGCCGACAATGGATGGAAGTGCCTAGGAGATGACCTCACCCATAGGCCTACTATGGGGCATTCATTGTTGGCTGCCCCTCCTCTGCACTGAAGCTGCCACTGACAACTGATCCTGGAACCGGAGCGCTTCAGAAAAAGCAAGTATACAGATCTTTTCTTCACAGGATTCGATAGAATAGGCGAAGAATGGGGTTGGGAGTAGGTTTGGCCTTAGTTAGATTGTGAGTAGAATTCCATATTCAATTTTTGAAATTGCCATCACTTTCATTCCCAGTGACAAGGGTGATCAGTACAATTAGAAAGAGTGAATCTCCCTGATGGGGATACAGACAGCAGTAAAACCTGAGAGTGGTTCTATCCTTTCACCACTATCTGATAAAAAAAAAAAAGATTTGCCTTTAAAGTCCAATTACATGTGATAAAGGCCATGAGAACATAAGAGAAGATACAATTCTGTAGCCACTGATGACTTTTCTTTTTCTATTGACATCCGTGTTCATTCAGGTCCTTCTTCAGCCTGAAACCACAACTTATAGTAAAAGCCCTGGCTAAAACTAACTAAGCTTAAAACTGCTCCCATCCCCCCCCCCAACACTTATACTAACTACTACCATGTAGAAGAAAGATGCCTATACTTACCTATCCTCTGGTCACATGACCTCCCCCGTGGCTGGCTATAGGGTAGAGGAAGGACAGCAGGCAATGGATGCTCCATAATAAGCCTAAGGGTGACATCATCGCCCAGGCATTCCATCCATTGTCGGTGATCTCTTTCCTCTCCCCTGAAACTGGCCACTGAGGAGATCACGTGACCGGAGTGCTCTGAGAATAGGTAAGTATATGCATCTTCCTTCTACAGAGTAGTTAGCATAGGAGCTAGAAGGTGGGTGGGAGTAATTTTAACCACTTGGCCTCCAAAAGATTTACCCCGCTTCCTGACCAGGCCATTTTTTGTGATACGGTGCTGCGTTACTTTAACTTGACGATTGCGCGCTCATGCAACACTGTACATAAATTTGTCATTTTTTTTCCCCCACAAATACAGTTTTCTTTCGGTGGTATTTGACCACTGCGGTTTTAATTTTTTGCGCTATAAACAAAAAAAAAGACATTTTTGAAAAAGAAAAAAAAAACAATATTTTTGACTTTTTGCTGTAAAACATATCCAATGAAAAACATTTTTATTTCTTCATAAGTTTAGGCCAAAATGTAGTCTGCTACACGTCTTTGCTAAAAAAAAAATCCCAATAAGTGTAATACGTGAAAGTTATAGCGTCCTAAAATGGCGGTTTATATACTGGAATTTTTATTTATTTATTTAACCACTTGCCCTTCAGAGGATTTACCCCCCTTTTTTTTTGCGATACAGCGCTGCGTTACTATAATTGTACGGCCATGTAACGGTCATAATTACGGTCATATAACTCTACACATGAATGAAATTTATGTCCTTTTTTCCCCCCACAAAAAGAGCTTTCTTTCGCTGGTATTTGATCACCTGTGCGTTTGCACTATAAACAAAAAAAATCAATTTTTGAAAAAGAAAAAAGAAAAAACAATATTTTTTACTTTTTGCTATAAAACATATCCAATAAAATTGTTTAAAAAATTAAATTCTGCTACATGGCTTTGCTAAAAAAAAAAAAATCCCAATAATTGTATATTAATTGGTTTATGTGAAAGTTCTAGCATCTACAAATGGCGGTATATACTGGAATTTCTATTTATTAATTACTAGTAATGGCAGCGATCAGCAACTTATAGCAGGACTGCAGGAGCCATTCTGACACTGGCTGGGAACAAACTGCCACTGACATCTCCAGTGACACTAATACAGTGATCAGTGCTAATAAAAAGCACGGACACTGTACTAATGGCACTGGGCAGGAAAGGATTAACATCTGGGGCAATCAAAGGGTTAACTGTGTGTTAGGGAGTGTTTTTATTGTGTACCATGAGCTGTTTTACTAAAGGGACCTACTGATTTCGTCAGATGTAAACAGACACATGTCCATTTAAATCTGCCTGGCTATAGATCAACATTGAGCTTCTGTTCATATCTGCCTGAAGAGCTGACAAGTGGATCTGATCGGAATGCTGGTCTCAAACGACCCTTAATATGTATGGCACAATTATATGTCCACATCTTCAGTCATGTTTTTCTTTATTTCCTTCTCTAGGTTGTCAGAGTGACAGTGGAAGATTTGTTCATGGTGCAGGCGTAATGATTTCCAAATGTGCAAGCAACAGAAATGTCTAAACGTTGGAGCAGACATACGACTGCATAATATGCATACAACAGTTTTGTGTTCACTTGGAAAAAGTTAACTAAAATCTTGTTTTTTGTGTGTTTTTCTAAGGCAAGGTTAAAATTTGTGTGTGTTGAGAATGCGTGCTTTCATGGCACGTAGAGAAGTGAGCTGCCAGTTAGCAGACATGATGCGATGCCAGCATTTGTTAATGGCACCCCTACACACCAGAAAATGTGGATTGGTGAAGTGCATTTTTGGGAAAAAGGGACTTATTTTCCCCTTTTCTTATGCATAGGGCAGCTCATTGAAATGAATGCGCTGCCCTACACATGACGCACGGGAATGCGAAGAAATGCGCCTGTGCTTGGTCACACCAGTAGGTGTGAACCAAAGTTATCTTCAATTTGACTTTCACGTTTTACATGTTTGAATGTTCATATTTTTGCTGTTGGGTTAAATAAAGTGTTTTGTAGATTGGCCACTGTAGCCATTGTAATTCCTTTTACATGTACTGTACGTTATCCGCTAGATAAGCAATGCATTGTTTTCACTATTTCAGCCAATTCCTGGATTTGTATTGTGAGAAGGAGCAGTAAAGCACAATCACTGTGTTGCAGACACAGAAACAAAGTCTGTGTATGTAATCAGAAAATATAGCCGTACATGTTCGATTACAAACTACATTGAGAAAAAGGGTTTTTAAAATCTAATCACACATTGATAAAAGTATTTTTATCAAGCTAACTTGTTTATATATCAAAACCAGATGAAAAGGTCATACATTCAATTCAACCATACAATTACTATGCAACTATGTTTTAAAATTAAAATATTGGCTAAATACCTTTTGCTGGAAGTAGAAGTGCAATCATTCAAGCTGGCCATAGATGGATTAAAATTACCGTATGTTTTGCTTCATAAGACGCACCTAGGTTTTAGAGGAGGAAAACAAGAAAAAAAATATTCTGAACCAATGGACTGCAGACATAGTACAGGAAATGACCAGAGGCTGCGGACGTTCTACAGGAAATGACCAGAGACTGCGAACATACTACAGGAGATGAGCAGAGACTACGGGCGGACATAGTAGTACGGGAGATGGAGATGACCAGAGACTGCGGACTGCGGACATAGTACGAGAGATGACCAGAGACTGCGGACATAGTACGAGAGATGACCAGAGACTGCGGACATAGTACGAGAGATGACCAGAGACTGCGGACATAGTACGAGAGATGACCAGAGACTGCGGACATAGTACGAGAGATGACCAGAGACTGCGGACATAGTACGGGAGATGACCAGAGAGACTAGCGGACATAGTACGGGGAGATGACCAGACCAAGACTGCGGACATAGTACGGGAGATGACCAGAGACTGCGGACATAGTACGGGAGATGACCAGAGACTGCGGACATAGTACGGGAAATGACCAGAGACAGTGGACATAGTGCAGGAGATGACCAGAGACTGCGGACACAGTACGGGAGATGACCAGAGACTGCGGGCACAGTACGGGAGATGACCAGAGACATAATGCGGAGACAGTACGGGAGATGACCAGAGACTGCGGAGACAGTACGGGAGATGACCAGAGACTGCGGAGACAGTACGGGAGATGACCAGAGACTGCGGACACAGTACAGGGGATGACTAGAGACTGCGGACACAGTAGTACAGGTGATGACCAGAGACTGCGGACATAGTACAGGTGATGACCAGAGACTGCGGACACAGTACGGGAGATGACCAGAGACTGCGGACACAGTACAGGAGATGACCAGAGACTGCGGACACAGTACAGGAGATGACCAGAGACTGCGGACATAGTACGGGAGATGACCAGAGACTGAGGACCTTTGGGGAGCAGGAGGGAGAGCAGGTACCCGAATTTGACAGGTACCCGCTCCCACTTCCGCTGCGATCACCTAGGCGATTGGAAGCGGAAGTTGTCCTCCCTCCCTGTAGTCTTCTGGTACACGTGACAGGTCCCAGAAAACTATGGGGCCATTCACAAAGCACAGCGCCTCTCGCACATGCGCAGTGGGCACCCGGCTGTAAAGCCACAAGCTGTCACAGCCGGGTGCCCACAATGAAGATCCTGGCGCCAGGGAGAGAAGAAGACGACCGGTGAAACCAGCCATGTTAAGGACACCGCTCGACCGAGGAACAGGTAAGTGTCTGTATTTTAAAAGTCAGCAGCTACAATTTTTGTAGCTGCTGACTTTTTTCTTTTTTTTTCTTTCAGCTGGAACTCCGCTTTAAGGGGCAGCTGCTTTGGGCCCTGTCTGGTGCTGTTGCACTGCTGATTCTGACTCCTCTCTTATGCCACAGAAGAGCCGAGCGGCTGTCCCAGTATTCTAACGCGGCGGCAGGGAGGGGAGTCCTGGTCAATATTCGCTCCATAAGATGCAGACATTTCCCCCCTATTTTGTGGGGGGAAAAAAGGACATCTTTTGGAGCGAAAAATACGGTAATCCGGTTCAGCAGGGACCAGCCAAATTCTGATTGGGCTATAGTTGTTCAAACTTGACAGAAATTAATCTATCGATTGGCTTTTGCTGAAAAGGAATGGTGGAAAATTTTTAAATTTGATCAGCAGCTGCAGCGCTGATCGGTGTATTCTAAAAGGGGAGAAATCTCTGCTGTCAGAATACAATAGCACAGTGGGGAGGTTTCCTCCATCCACCACGATTGTGTATATGAAGAATCCCGCTTTAATTACAACAGTAGTTTGTGTTCTGTATGAATGCTTCAGAAGACTATGTGAAATGTAACCTAGTTTTAGTAAGATAAGGATACCTATGGAAAGACCAGAAGAACACAGTGTAATATGTGTTCTAATTATGGATTATCATACTGTGATAGAGTACTCTGATGTTTACACACAAATTCACACAAGCAAGGTCATTATATTACAGGACCAGTCTTTTCTGGATGGATGTGTTTGCTCACTCAGTGTACTTATTTGATAAAACAAACTAATTTAGAAAGTAACAAACAGGGTCAAAAGGTTTACTAACCCTCACTTTTACTGCAACATACTAATTTTCCATATACATATATACAGTATCTCACAGAAGTGAGTCCACCCCCCACATGCTGTAAATATTTTATTCTATCTTTTCATGTGACAATACTGAAGAAATGACACTTTGCTACAATGTGACGTAGTGAGTGTACAGGTTGTATAACATGTAAATTTGCGGTCCCCTCAAAATAACTCAACACACAGCCATTAATGTCTAAACCTCTGGCAAAAAAGTGAGTACACCCCTAAGTGACAATGGCCAAATTGGGCCCTATTAACCATTTTCCCTTCCTGGTGTTATGTGACTTGTTAGTGTTACAAGGTCTCGGGTGTGAATAGGGAGCAGGTTTGTTAAATTTGGTGTTATCGCTTTCACTCTCTCATACTGATCACTGGAAGTTCAACATGGCACCTCATGGCAAAGAGATAATAAATATTGATGGTGTAGCACTATAAATAAATAAATATTAAACCATAAATTTATACATGAGTAAGTGATAAAAAACCTGTGCAAAACCTGGTCCCAAATATGGACCTATATTATAGTGTAAGGAAACACACACAATCCCAAATAGGGATAAATAAAGTGATACAGTGAGTACCAAACGATAAAATCGCTGAAAGTGACTGGTGCTAATACTTCCCAATACATATATCAAAAAACTGATAAATACATATTAAAATAAATAACTAGCAATAAATTAATAAAGTCCAAAAAATGTGCAAAAAAATCAGTGCAACGACATTCTTTTGCACTGTGTGTTCTGACACCTTTCTATCAGAACCAGCACTTTTTCAGCAATATGAGCTACAGTGGCTCTTCTATTGGATCAGACTACACTGGCCAGTCTTTGCTTGCTACATGCATCAATGAGCCTTGGCTGCCCATGACCCTGTTGCCAGTTCGCCATTTTTTCTTCCTTGAACAACTTTTTGCTAGGTCCTGACTGCTGCAGACTGGGAACATCCCACAAGAGCTGCGGTTTTGGAGTTGCTTTGACCCATTTGTTTGGCCATTACAATCTGGCCTTTGTCAAAGTCGCTCAAATCCCTACACTTGTCCATGTTTTCTTTTTTCAACACATCAACTTCAAAGACAACATGTTCACTTGCTGCCTAATATGCCTTAGTGTATGTGTGGTTGTAAGCTTGTGTATCTGGTTCTTCAATAGCCTGTTGTATCTTTCAATCAAACCAACTGCCTGTGGATGGTATGGGATGTGGCAAAACCAGTATGCTCCAGAATCTTTGGCCCATTGCTGTACTGTTGATCCAGTGAAGTGTAAGCCATTATCACTTTGGACTTGTTTGGGACAGCCATGAGCAATGACAAGTTTCTGAAGCAGTTGACTTGTAGTGGCTTGATCTGCACATATGCAAAGATGAACAAGCAAAGGTCTGGAATAGATGTCTACTGCAGTGCAACAATGCCTCAGTCCATTGTTTCCTCGGGGCAAGGAACCGATGAAGTCAATCTGCCAAATCTCTGCTGGCCTCTTGCCCCTCTAAATTGACCCAGTGGAGCACTTTTGCAATGGCCATTGTCGCACTTCTCCACACACTGTACAGTTCCCTATTACAGTCTTTATCATGTCCATGAATATGGGCAATCTTCTCTGCTGTGCCCATTCATATGTTGCTTTCTGCCCCAAATGTCCAGATTGCTGTTGGGCTCAGTTCATCAAGACAGGATCAATTGGCACAACTGCATTCACCTTGGCTATTTCATCTGTCATTCTTTTATAGTTTTCAAAGTCTGGGACCAGGGGCACATGTGCATCAACATGCCTCACTTTTATGGTGCAGGAGTGTGCTTTCTTCCAGATGTAGTCCCAGACTTCCATGCCTCTCCACTTCACCTTTCCATGAATCATCCATTCATTGGACTTCCACGTGGGCATCCAAGTTGTCAGTATTTTAAAGGCTGCCCACCTGTCATTGAATATAGTGACATGGGAAGAAGGATCCTCCTGAAGAGTCATTACTACAGCTCTCAACTCTGCATACTGACTGGACCCTCCTATTCTGGTCGCCAGTAGGACTGTGTCTGTACTCGGGTTGTAGAATGCTTTTGTCCATTGAGGCCCAGATGAGGTGACTATGGCTGAACCATCAGTGAACCATGCAGACTCTTTCAAGTCTTCTGACAGAGACTCAAAGGGTGGAGCCTCTTGAATGGGGGATGACTTCAGCACAGGTATTTCTTCTGGCTGGGTGCTGGTAAAAGTGGCAAGCCTTGTCAACTGTTTTGAAATGTCTCTGACATCCTCAGTTGCAATGCCCCCTCTTTCTTGAAGGTACCACTTTTATTTCATCAGTGTTTTATTCCGAGCTACACTTGCCCTAGTGGTCAGTCCACTGTTTTTTTTCACTCATCCTGCTATTGGCAATGTAGTATGGATGGTAACTGGATCTTTTCCTGTAATAGTCTCTACAGTATGTGTTGAAGTGCAGTATAGGCCCCAAACAAGTACTCCTCTAGGAGTATGCATCTCTTCTGTGCCCGTCAGCTGCTTGGACCAAAATCCAATGGGTATTACTCTTTGTCCTTTCTTTTCATTTGGCTGCCTCAGACTCCAAGATATAGTACCATCCTGCTCCACTACATCTAGCTGAAATGGTACTCCTTGTCTCACAGGTCCCAATACCTGATGCTGCAAAATGGCTTCTTTAGCAGCAAGAAATAAGTGCTACTGCTATGAACCCCATGAGAACGCAGTCCACCCCTTCATCCAACAAACATAGGAGACAACTCAGTAGGGGTTCCCCAGACCTCTGTATGTATTGTTTTGCAAGCACATGGAGTTGTTTGTGTAAACTCCCTTCTTCAAATTCCACATCTCTGGGGCTGTGGTAATGCACCTCTCCATCTGCCATATTCTCTCTATCGTGTTGCCTTTTTTCTGCTTAGTAATGAAAGGTCTAGCACACTTTTTCTTTCGAACTAGGAGATCATCATCAGAAATCTCAAACTCTATCTCCTCTACCCATCATTTGAGGAGAGCACATCCTCACAATCCCAGTTTTGGGAATTGACAATGGCACGTACCATGGCTTTACTAACAGGTTTATGGCCTTTTTCCTTAAGGCATTAATTTATTTGGTCATGAGGGCTGCACAGTGCTTTTGCAAATTATCAGCCCGACAAGCAGTTCAACAAACACACTCAAAAACAGCTGCTAGCTGGTCTATGAATACCTTAATTTCTGCCTCAGCCTTCTCCCTCCTTTGTGATTCAGTTTAGAGTATGAAGAAAGTACCAGCCAACTCTGGACACTGTCCTCTTCTCTGCTTTATTTAAATCAAACCCCTCAAGGCTAAAATCTACAAAATGATCTGAGACTTTATCATCGCAAGTCAAATTCAAGGAAGAAGCATACTTTGCAAATTCTTTAGCAAGAGGTTTCCAATCATTGTCTCTGGCCCAGGCAGGTATGGAGCATGCTTTCTCCTGGTAACCAGAAACCTCTGCAGCATTTTTACTCAGCACAAGCAACAGAAGACACTACAGAAACTGGTTTGCTTTAGTTGAATTTTAGCTCAAGTGCTGGCACAAGCCCCCCATTGCTTTGTTTGCATTACTTTGCAGTCAAGGAAGCTCAGACCTCTGCAGTGTGTTAATGTGCTTTTACTGAACAAAATACTGTACATACAAACTTCGACAAGAATAGGAAGAACAATACAAGCAAACTGAAAAAAGAAAAGTTACTTAACTCAGGTTAGAGCAGGCTCAAAATCACCATAAGCAATGAGGACCCAGGCTTACTCTATAAAATGTGGGAGGTCGAGCGAAAGTGTGTTAAGGTGAAGTCTCCTATCCTTTCAGGAATCTTCCTTCGTGTTAAGTCATCTTAGAGTCTTCGTTTCAGTCTCTGTTAGCATTTTATTTGAAAAGTTTTACCATTCCCACATGGGTATTGTCCCTTTCACAATACTGTGTTTCAATGGGAGAAGCATTCTCCAATTTGAGCTCTAGCTGGCATTGTTGTATCA